ACGTTGGGAGTTTGAATTAAATGCTTTGAAGTAGTCTTCTTTGGTTTAGGTCTGCTTGGTGTTCTATAACCTTCTTATATTTGAATATTCATATCTTTCTCTAGGTTTGGGAAGTTCTCGGATATTATCTCTTAGAGTAAGTTTTTTACCCCTATCTCTTTTTCTACCTCCTCTTTAAGGTCAGAAAGTCTTAGATTTGCCTTTTTTAGACTATTCCCTAGATATTGTAGGCATTCTTCATTGGTTTTTATTCTTTTTTCTTTTGTCTCCTCTAACTGCATGTTTTCGGATAGCCTGTCTGCAAGCCACTAATTCTTTCTTCTGCTTAATCAATTCTGTCATTAAGAAGCTCTGATGCATTCTTCAGTATGTCAATTGCATTTTCAACTCTAGAATTTCTACTTGGTTATTTTTAATTATTTCAATCTCTGTATTAAATTTAATCTCTGTATTAAATTTATGATAGAATTATGAATTCTTTCTCTGTGTTATCTTGAATTTCTTTGAGTTTCCTCAAAACAGTGATTTTTGAATTCTCTGTCTGAAAGGTCATATATCTCTGTTCTCCCAGGATTGGTCCCTGGTGTCTTATTTAGTTCAATTGCTGAGGTCATATTTTCTTGGATGGTGTTAGTGCTTGTAGATATTTATCAGTATCTGACAGGACAGTGAGATCTAGGCAATCTCATTAATCCTTAATTTCCTTATTTATAATATATATATATACATATTTACATTTGTACATTTTATAAAACATATATTATAAATCCTTGCTTTCTTTTTTATAATATGTATATTATAAGGTTGTTGTATGCATGCCAGAAAAAAATTAACAAAAAGAATATGAAATTTAAAAAAATAAGGTTGTTGTGGAAATTGGATAATACCTGTAAAACTCTTAGCATAAGTGCCTGGCACAGAGTAAGCACTCAGTATTTGCTGCTGTGAAGGTGGAGGTAGAAGTAGTAGGGAAGAGGAGATATTGATCAATGTGGCAAAGGACATGGTTATAGTACAGAGTGTGGCACTCATCCCAGGGGAGAATACTCCTGAACTGAATCTTAAAGAATGACAGAGTTCATGAAAAATGAAAGAGCATTGGCAAAGATATAGAACCATATAAAATGTGGTGTATATGTGCTGCAGCAATTTGGTGCTAATAGAACTTGATGTAGGAATTGGAAATGATAGTTAACTGATGAGACTGGAAAAGTTGGCCACTGTCAAGTCATTGAAGGTACTGGACATTTTTCTTTCTTTCTTTCTTTTTTGACACGAAGTCTTGCTCTGTTGCCTAGACTGGAGTGCAGTGGCACGATCTTGGCTCACTGCAACCTCTGCCTCCCAGATTCAAGTGATTCTTCTGCCTCAGCCTCCCAAATTGCTGGGACTACAGGTGTGCACCACCACAGTTGGTTAATTTTTGTATTTTTACTAGAGATGGGGTTTCACCATATTGGTCAGGCTAGTCTTGAACTCCTGACCTCCTGATCTGCCCCCCTCAGCTTCCCAAAGTGCTGGGATTACAGGCGTGAGCCACTGCTCCTGGACTTTTTGTATTGGACTTTTTTCTAAGCAAAAGGGAGACGTTGAAGAGTTTAAGGAGAGAGATAGCATGGTCATATTTGCATTTCTAGCTAGCTCACTCTGATAGGGTGAGGATGCTTTGAAGTGGAGACAGTAACTGAAGCAAGCTCTTTAATAGTTCATTTGAGAGATGACGGCCAGAACTAGGGCCATACTGATTGAGAATGCAATGTCATTGTATTACTATGTTCTCACACTGCTGTAAGGAAATACCTGAGACTGGGTAATTTATAAAGGAAAGAGGTTTAATTGACTCACAGTTCCACACTGCTAGGGAGGCCTCAGGAAACTTACAATCATGGTGGAAGGGGAAGCAGGCACAGACCTTCACATGGCAGCAGGAGAAAGAAGAGTGAATGAACAATGGGGAAAGAGCTCCTTATAAAACCATCAGATCAAGTGAGAACTGATTCACTATCATGAGTACAGCATGGGGGAAACCACTCCCATGATCCAATCACCTCCCACCAGGTCCTGCCCTCCACACGTAGGGATTATGGGGATTACAATTCATGATGAGATTTGGGTGAGGACACAGAGCCAAACCATATCAGTCATTCTTGTACATATTTTTCATATAGTAAACTCAGGTCCAGCCCAAGATTTCTTTTGAAAAACCAGGCTAGACAGGTTGTAAGGTATATGAGAGTGCAGGTCTTGTCCATGAGGACTCTAAGAAGCCCTATCCATGATTGCGTATCTGGTTCCTCTGTCTCACTGATTCAGTGATCTCTTCTATTCCTGATAGGCTAGATATGATTTGTTATGATCACCTAGATCAAATACTTCCACCTAATGGAAAACTCACTTTTTTTTTTTTTTAAGTCAAGGCACTAGGGTGAAGAAGAGTGAATAAAGTGATAACTTGAAGGCAAAAAGTACTAGAAAGTAGATCAAAGAAAAAGGAATTTGATTTTAACCTACATTTTACTAAAATCTTATTTTCTTCATCTATTTTCCTTCCTTATTCATGAAGGTTTAAAAATGATAATCATAATTTTTTTCTTGCATAAAGGTAGAGAGTGAAAAAACAAAGAATTCAGTTCTGTTGTATTCACTTTATGTCCTTCTGTGCTCTGTGGGAAATGGACTTCCAGTTGGTCAAATTTCCCCCAGCACAAATCCTGCGGCAAGGAGCTGCATCCATTTTGTAGACTGTGTTTGCATGCACAGCTTGTTAGGGGTCTATGGGAAGAGTAAGTTAATGTTTTTTGCATATTAGAAAGGATGGTACCATTTCTGTCTGTGTGTGTATGTGTGTATGTATATATTCCACATACTATACAATTCATCCATTTGGAGTGTACAGTTTAATTGCTGTTTGTTTCTTTAACAGGGAAAAAAAGATGTGACCCAGATATTTAACAACATCCTGAGAAGACAGATAGGCACTCGGAGTCCTACTGTGGAGTATATTAGTGCTCATCCTCATATCCTGTTTATGCTCCTCAAAGGGTAGGTACATGGCTTCCTTTCAAGTAGGGCTAAGTTTTTAATTGTTGTTGAAAGTACATAGCATTAACCTCATTTGAGATATGATCAGTTCCCTTTTAGAACTGCAGTCAAGGTATTTGTCTTGCGTGAGGTCAGCCCTCTAGATCTGTCTCTGTGATTACTTAGGCTGCAGCAAAATCCTTTCTTTGCACCTTAATGTTTCTAAATGTTATGTTTCCATTTACTGCCTTCCTTTTCTCCACAGTTCTGCTATTTCTGTCTCTTCCTATTACAGTATTGCTTATGCTTCCCTATCTGCCCTATTCGTAGCTGCCCACTTACCCTTTTCCTGACTGCTTGAGACTGAATGCCCTCAATATACACACAAGCACACACATATATATTCTGCTTCTGGAACTGAAATACAGATATGAGAGTTTTTCCAGTAGCTAGCATCTGCCAAGGTGAATGTATGTGGGTCTATAGGGAAGCCATAGAAATGAAGTTGAGCTAGGTAATAGAATCCCTGATTATTATTTTTATGTACACTTATTTATAAATGTTTCTTGGGCATTTGGGGGCTACTCTGAATCATAATGACTGGAGATCTGGGTGTAGCAAAGCTTGAGGACAGCAGACCATCTTCTTCCTCCCCTTGTCTTTCTACTCCACTATCTTAAACCAGCACATCTCTTTATTTTATTATATTCCTGTTTTCAATCCTGCTGTTTCATACCTAGTCCATCTCACCTGTGTTCATTTTCTCTCTTGTACATTTTAAATATTTAATTGTATCAAAATAATACATTGTTTAAAAATCAGATATATCAATAAATAGTTCTTTGCCTCTTTCTTTTTTCTTTCTTTCAAATATGTGTGTGTGTGTGTGTGTGTGTGTGTGTGTATATATATATATATATATTTTTTTAAGACAGTGTCTTGCTCTGTTGCCCAGGCTGGAGTGCAGTGGTGCAATCTTGGCTCACTGCAACCTCTGCCTCCGGGGTTCAAGCAATTCTCCTGCCTCAGCCTCCTGGGTAGCTGGGATTACAGGTGCCCACCACCACACACGACTAATTTTTGTATTTTTAGTAGAGACAGGGTTTCACTATTTGGTCAGGCTGGTCTCGACTTCCTGACCTCAAGTGATCTGCCTGCCTCAGCCTCCCAAAATGGTAGAGTTACAGGCATGAGTCACTGCGCCCGGCCTCTTTGCCTCTTTCTTCTCCATTTTTCAGTCCTATTACCCAAAGACAACCACTTTTATCTTTTTTATTTGTTCATTTGTTTATTTGTTCATCATTGTTTTCATCATATATTTACCTCTGTGTTACAAATAATGGGCTTCTACTAATTTTTCATTTATCAATTTTAAGCAGTATCTTTGACAAGATAAACTAGATGATAGTCTTTTTACTGCCACCATTATTCTATTTCCTTTCCTTTATCTTCCTAATAAACTTTATCATAATTTTAAATTTTAATAATCACATTTAGATTATTATGACTGTGTAGTTATTATTTATTAGTGAGCAAAGTAGTATACTGTGATTACTTTGGTTTTGCATACAAAATAATTGTTTTACTGGAGAATTGTTTCTTCAGTTCTGGAAAGGGAAAGATCCTTGTATCATGTATTAGTTAGGGGATGCAAAGCCTCTATAACACATAGACCCCAAAGTGAAGTGGCCTCACAGCAAGTTAAGTATATTTCTCATGTAATAGTGCAGAGCAGATGTTCTAGTTCATCAGGGGGTTCTGTCATCTTCAGCATGTGCTATCTAAGATCACTTTGTTCATTGCCATTTCAACCCACAGAAAGGTGAAAGTATATAAGAGATTTTATGTGTTTAGAGAATGACAAGAATTCTGGTGTGACTAGAGGTCTGTGTGAGTCAGAGGGAAGGGTGCAGGATGAAGTTGGAAAGATTGAGACCAGATTATGAAGAGCTTTCCAAGTCCTACTAGGGAGTTTGAATGTCATTCTGTAGGCAACATGGAGTCATCCAGGGACTAGACATGAGGAGTTCTGGTGGCAACGTAGAAAATGGCATGGGGTGGGAGGCTGAGATTCCAGCTTGGAAGAGTCTAGGGAAGAGATTATCAACAGAACTTTAATGGAGATACTGAGAATGAAGAGAATGGGTATTTGAAAACATTTCCATTTCTTTCCAATTCAAAAGTAATACATGGTTATTATTTAAAAACTAAAACATTTGAGAAATGCATAATAGAAAAAGAAAGTGCATCCCATAATCTTTCCATAAGAAATCATTATTGACAATTTGGGGACTACACCTCTGGTTTTAATTCTCTATCACAATGATTATCCCTTTGTTTTTCAACCCAAACTTTTAACTCATTCCTTCACATCCTGTTTTGTGTAAACCATTTACTCATTGTTTGCTATGTGCCAGCTATTGTAATGTTTTACTTATGTTATATTGTTTACTTTCCAAATACTATGAGGACTACATATTATTATTAGTATTATTATTATTACCATTTTACAGATGAGGAAACTGAAACTCAGAGAGAGTAAGGATATTGCTCAAGATTATACAGCTAATACATGACAGAGCCTCGTTTTCCATGCAGATCTGACACTAAATCCCATGTTCCTTTCCATTAATATACCTTTAAGAAGATTCGAGGACCATTCAGATGTGAAGGGAGAGGGAATTGTTGATGCTCTTGAGGACAGGGTAGTGGAACAGTTGTGCCATAATCAGTTTTACCTGTTACCATTTTCTTTCTTTTTTTTTTTTTGAGATGGAGTCTCGCTCTGTCACCCAGGCTGGAGTGCAGTGTTGCGATCTCGGCTCACTGCAAGCTCCGCCTTCTGGGTTCAAGCGATTCTCCTACCTCAGCCTCCTGAGTAGCTGGGACTACAGGTGCATGCCACCACGCCTGTCTAATTTTTTGTATTTTTAGTAGAGACAAGGTTTCACCTTGTTAGCCAGATGGTCTCAATCTCCTGACCTTGTGATCCGCCTGCCTTGGCCTCCCAAAGTGCTGGGATTACAGGCATGAGCCACCACACCCAGCCCGTGTTACCATTTTCTAATTTAGCACTGAATGCTAGAGATTTAGCCCTTCCTAAAAGTCAGGATTTTTACTGAATTATCTCTTGTGAAGTCACTTTAAAACCTAGGACATAACTTGATTGGTACATTTATACATCAAACAATAATATTAAATGAGAATATGATAGTAACATTCTATATAGAACCTAAGTTTAACCACAAAGAATGTAAGACAAAAAGCAATTGATAGTTGTCTATCAAAGAGAATTATCTGGATATGTGGTATTAAACATGGTGGAAAAGATTTGGAGCCCAAGTTTTATGAAAAGATTATAAATAAGGACTTACTCTAAATGAATTTGTCTTCTGGCTCAGGCAAATGACATTCTAGGGTACTGAGAGAACTTGAGAATGAGGTCACTAAACAGCTGTCAGTGATCCGTAAAGAACTGTGGCCAGTGTGTTCCAGAAGGCTGATGTTAAAATCATAAATTTCTCCCAATTATCCGTTTTTTTTAAGTTTATTATAAAAATTTTTAAGCAGTTTTGTTTTGGCAATTATTTTATAGATGGTGCTATGTAGTTCATATTTCATCACATCAGGAGATGTACTTTTAGTAATACTAAGACCGAGCAATGGGTTCAGATGGTGACAGTCTAATCCACTATAAAGTTTCCCATCGACCTTAAACTTGTTTTTCCATCCATTGATGAACATTGCCTGATTCTGTCATTTCACTAGAGGTGACAAAAAGGTAATTTTGAATTCCATCATTTCTTTTGTATATTTTATTGGCTAAAGTAGTTTTATAGAGAATAC